ATGACGTCTGGCATAGAGCGGGTCTCCTCACCAACCCTGGAGTTATTCTCGTGGTGACGGGCTGCTTCTAGATTAATACCAAAGCCATAATCTGGCCTTTCATTTTCAGTTAAGTCCTCCTCCTCTTCTTCTTCTTCCTCTTCCTCTTCCTCCTCATCCTCTTCTTCTTCCTCATCCCCATTTTCCGGAATCATATTGGGGTCATTCTCACTCTTAAACTTGGCCACGACAGATTTGAGAGCACTACTTGCACTGCCGACGAGATCACTGGTTCCAGGCTCTGGGGAGCTGGCTGTGGAGAGCCCATCATCTGACTTGACGGTCATGGGGGAGGACTTGTGCATGTGTGTTTTCATGTGACGCTTTAGCTTGCTGGCCTGAGTGCATGCATGATCACAGAGGTTGCACTTGTAGGGTTTTTCTCCAGTGTGGCTTCTACGGTGTACTACTAAATTACTCTGAAACTTGAACGTTTTCCCACAAAATTCACAAGACTTGGATTTAATTGGAGGCTGGGAAGAAGGAGGGGCTGACTGAAGAGGCGGAAGGGGAGGTGTTGCCAGAAATGGTGGCTTACTGCCTGGCTGGAATGGTTGCAGTAACCTTTGCATAGGGCTGGGCCGGCTTGGTGACAATGGTGGACTGGAGGTGTTACCAGCTAACTCTCTAAGTCTCCTGGAGAAATCCATAGCTGGTGGCTCCATAGCCATGGGGTTCAGTCGCAGCACCCTGTCAAAGGCACTAGGGTGATGGGTTGCAAGAGCCATTTCTTCGGCACCCAGGCGTTCTATGCGGTGTGGATCCAAATGATGTCTGGGGGGAGGGCTAAACAAAGGAGGTGTGGGTGGGAAACGCCCTTCTCCAAGACCTGAAGCCTCTCTTGATACTGACCCAGGTATTCTTAGAAGGTTAAAAGGATTATTGTCTGCAATATGAATTCCATGGAGTGGCGGCTGTGAAGGACATTCTGCACCTAGTCCTGATGGGATACCAACCCGCGGTGTCAGGGGACTTCCATGCTCGCTTTCTAAGTAGATTCTTAATCCGTGAGTGTTCTGTGCGTGTTGCAAGAGAAACCATGCACTGTTGAAAGGCTGTTTACAAGTTGTACACGTGTAGCTGCTGGGCTCATCTTTACCTGCAAAATAATACAACAGCAACATAAATGTTTAATCACTGAATGGCTTATCAATCATTGATGGTTGTTGGGCTTTTTTCTTTCTAATCTTTCTTTTCCCTAACATTAAATCTGAAGTGGAGAAACAAAAATCTAACTAATGAGGGAGGGAAGCCTGAACATTTAACCATATCACATCTGAGCTGGCTTCCTGCCTTTTTTTTCCTTCCCTAACAAACAGAAGAGTATGAGAACAGGTAACAATGTTAAAGAGCCATCAAAAAGATGATTCAATAAATTCATTCTAATTATGGCTCCACAGATACCTTGATCTTACCTCGCTAATATTTAAAATGAAAAAAATCATTAAAATAATTTTATGAAAGGTAATATGCAAAAACATATACAGGGGTTCAAGGAGGCAGCCCAAAGTGCAACGATAACTAAGAAAGATGAGAAATGTTAGATTATCCTCCTCCTCATTATACTGAGAAACTAACAATGTGTAGAAAATTAGACAACATCTCATGCCCTTAGCAGAGCTTCATCTTAAGTAGGAAAGAAAAAAAGACAAAAGGAAGATGAAGAAATAGAAAGATGCGATTCAGCTAGTAAAATATCTGGACAGTAGCCAAGAGACCTGGATGCACGCCCTGTGGGAGTCACATTATTTCTCTTGCCCTGAAAAGAATCTGAGGATGGTAAATGCCACTTTGGCAAGTAGCTAGCTAACTCTAATTCATGATCAATTATTTTCAGAGATAACCCGGACATTATGAAAGAACAAGTGACTAATAAATAAACTAAACAAAATGCTAACTAATAATGGCACTAGAGAGCAGCCACAACAAAATATAGTGCAAAACAAAGGAAATGAATGACTTTTGGAAAGTCCTAGGCAAGAGATCATATTAAATATGGGGGAGGCAAGTATCATTTTATTGAATGCTGTCATTTAAAAAATATTCTCGTTTGACCAGAGTATTTTTCACTGATAACTGAAATTAGAATGAAAATGAGAACAAAAATTAATGTTCAGTCCAATCTGACAGTTCTTATAGGACACGTCTACACAGCAGGGCGAGCTGTGTCAATTTCATAGCTTAAGTTGAAATAGCTTATTTCGACTTTTGGCGCTGTCTACACAGAAGTTATTTCCAGAGAGAGAATTTTTCCCCCAACTTCCCTTACTCCTCGTACAATGAGGGTTACAGGAGTTGGAGTAAGCAGTCCTCCAGCTCAATATTATTTTGACATTATGTCGAAATAACTTCTTGTGTGTAGACACAGACTATGTTATTTCGGAAATAACGTTAGTTATTCAGAAATAACATTGCTGTATAGACATAACCATAGAGTTGCTAGTTAGTGATTTAAAAACAAAAGCTCTTGGGGTCTCCTCAGGAACAAAAATATAACAACCTTCCAAAACAATCCAGGATTACAATGGTATTTGACGGCATAATGTACACCTGATCTGACCTATAATTTACTTGACGATGCATTTATAATCTCACTCAGTATAACCCACTCGTGGGTAAAGCTTCTTCACAAAATTAGATGGTAGATGCCTAAATTAGGTTTCAAACAGTTGCTTAATGTGGAGGGGGAGAGAGGGAGCACAGAAAAATTTGGACAGAAAATTTCAACATTAGTATCATCTTATCAGCAACCTTCTTGTTTTTCTCCTTACTTCAAAGAAAAAGAAAAGAAAAAGCATTATAAGGATATTTTCATTATATAATGTATTGAATAATGATTTGTGAATATGACAGACAGGAAGCTTATAGTTCTGGCTATAGTGACCCATAGCCATTTTTTCCTGGTGCCTTCAGGTGCCTCTATTATTATACATTCAGTCTGACAATCTGAATTGGATGAGTAAAAAGAGATTCAACCACTGAAAGCAGGCATGTAACACTTTAGTCTCTAAAAAAGTCTTTGGAATAATATTTAACATTTCATTCTTCAGTTGGAGCCAGCATTTGAATAAAATGCATTTCACTGTTTAGCATGTGCCGTGAATACAGGCATAAGATAAATATTTAAACCTTTTGGAAATAGAACCAAATTCAATTGGACTTTCACATTCCTGTGCTCATAAAGACTTAAATGTGAAAATTTCATTTATTTTGCTGTTATAAAGTGGAAGTTTTTAACAACGTACCACAAGCTACATGATCAAGCTACAGTATGCTAACAATGTAATGCTACCCTGCTTCTCTATTTTATATATTAGGTCAAAGAAAATGGCATTTTATCTTATAATGAGGATACAACATACAGTTTTCACTATCATATTTTAGTATTCCCATCAACTAGATATGCTAGATCATAAGGGCAGCTAGTGTAATCATAATGTCAATGAGAAGGGCTGTTATGACTGAGACTAAAGATTACATGGAAAAAGCTGCTTTGAAACTGGTAATTATTACCAGTCCACTAATAGCAAACGATGCATTACAATTTCACCATATAATCTGTATTTCACTCAGCTCCTTCCAGTGCAGTGTATTAAATTCTAGTGCTCAGAATTTCTAAATTCCGAAAGTACAGTCATCAATAAATGTGTTACTTGCCATCATTTGCAAAATTACTTTGTTCATAACATCTTCGACTCTTATAAAGACTCGAATTGATTTCCTGAATGGCAAAATTAGGGCTACATTGATTTACTGAAGTGTAAAATGTAATATTATTCTTCATTTGCTTTGAAGAAAAACAAGTTTTCAATTCACCATTCATGTTTTGTAATCAGGATAATAATTTAAATTGAAAGTATTGCTTATTTACATCACTTGTCTAATCTTAACCAATCTAACATTTTCAGTGGAGCTCTATAAAAGACAAAGCACGGAAACAGTTAAAGTCCACCAGTGATTTACCTCCTGCTTTGAAGAAACACACTTTCTAATTTGTCTATTAGTGCTTGATTAATAATGAAGGCTATTGACTGACCATATTACCACAGAGAGATATGTTCCAGTCTGATGTGGGCTTGCCAAACTATAAGCATTATGGCAATAATACACATACTACCACCAAAGGATGAGAGTTGCATTTAAACCATCACATTCTGGGCACAGAAATCCCTGGTTTTTCAGAAGTCCCCAGTTTCTGACTCTAGGGTCAGGCTAAGCTTCTGTTTTTGGACTCCATGATGCTCCCATTGAAGTCAATGACAAAACTCCTACTGACTTCAGTAGGAGTAGAGGCAGAACCTTGAGCCTTTTCCCATAATCATTGGCCCGATTTTATTCACACCAAGCAGCACCTTACGTCATTCTTAGTGAGATTAGCTGAAGGGTTCAGTACTACACATTCTTAATAAGGATGGCAGAATCAAGGCCTAGAAATAACAATGTAAATAGACAAGTCAGGCCAAACCCTTGATTTTACACACCCCTGGCAAGCCAAAACTGCAGATGGAATCAATCAGGCCCCAGTCCTGCAGTTCCAAAACATATGGGGTTCAGTCACGCTACTAAAGTTCTCCATTCATTGAAATGCCCTAAGGTAAGGGTATCACAATGTGGGATTCTCTTAGTGCTTAGATCCACCTCCGGGCTCTATGCCCCTCATGCCATGCATATTATTGGCGATCCTGTACTAAACCCCTGGGTTTGGGGATGTTGTGCAAGTGAGCCATCTCAGTGGAGCATTTATGGACAAGGGAGTTGCAGAAAATCACAAAATAATCATGGTAGGCTGCTTTGATACTGTTTTGTGAGGGTTACATCAAACTGCTGCATCAGTATAGAGGACAGGTCAGCATGACATGCTGCACAGATGCAAACGGCACCATACACTGCATTGTTCTGTGGTTCTGTGGCTGACTGCGACACTGTTCAGTGATAACTTCCCTGTCCCATAACTAGGAGAATTACTGTAAAGCAGGGATTCTACATAAAAAAATAAAAATAACGGACTAAATCTAATCCTGGCCCAATAATATCCCTGGCCCAATTTCTTTAGATACATGCTAAATGAATAGTCTACTTGAAGACAACTGCAGATTTATTTTACATCTCATTCAGCAAATCATTAGCTAGAGATCTGAAGAAATTGCATTGCACTTTCATAGAACAGGACTTAGCATTTCTAAAATAAGAGTTCCACGCACACCCCAAAGTAATCACAAAACTTCAGTCCTTACCCTCAAAAAATAAAGAGGTGATTTAACCGGGGAATGGGTGGGTGACAGATTTAAACTCCTGATCTGAAAAAAGTTAACAAGTGAATAGAATGTATATTGGCTTTTGAGTGCCTCTAAAGGCAGTCCACATATTTACTCAATAAGATATGAAGGCACGTTTTCTTTTAGCACTAAACAGAGCTTTTTAATAAAAAAAAAAGACATTTCTTCTTCTTCACATTACATTGCTACATGAGTCAGAGAAAGCTGACATCCGGAAACACAATATAGTTGACTCTAAACCAGACCTATAGGCATGTCCACAGCCACCAGCAGTGAAGCCAGACAAAGAGCTGGGGAAGAGGCCAGCTGGGAAGAGAAGCTGTCAGTTAGATGCCACTTCTAAAAAAAAATCATTCTGGAGCTAGGCATATGAATGCTTCCATTGCCAAGTAAGTAATGGAATAATATGTGTGTAAATGCCAGTGGGCTTGGGAAGCTCTTCCGTCAGTTCTTAAAAGTAAAAGCTAAATCCAGAAGAGCTTATCACTGGGCATATGCATTCCTGGACATTTTGTGAGTCGTAACAATGAAATGACAAATTTGGGGTCCTATAGATCTGACTGGAGGGGTTCCACATCCATTATGCAGAAGTTTGTTTGTGGGACCCCAAATTACAGCACTGAACAGGGACACAATACACATCGTAAGATAGGGAATCATATGAGCTGGCTACATTCTATTCCATTTTTGCCCTATAGGAGAAAAAATCCAAGCCTCGGTCCATGTGCCAGGGGACATTGTAAAGCATTCCATTTACAGACACGGACATTCCCCTTGGACAAATCCTGGGGAAGCCAATGGCAAATCTACCAGCTCCAGATGG